TTCGCGCGCCCACAGACGACGACGAATTACTTGACCATCCAACGCCGCCGCCGCCCCCTTCCCCCCCGGACGGCGACGGCGAGGCCGCGCGCGATTCCGATGGGGACGCCATCTCTGATGACGAATGTCGGGGGGGGGGGGGGGGGGGCGAATGTAGCTGAGGAGCCCGAGAGCATAGATGGCCACGATCCCCACAGGGATGATCACCCCGATGATCAGGGCACATGAAGGCTTCGTCACGCAGAATATCGCTTGGATCTCCCATCGTTTTTTTCCGCTGTAAAGCCACGTGGGACATTCCCCAGACCTGGTCAGTTGTTGGCACGCACGACGCAAAAATCCTGACACCATGGAACAGTATGAAGGTCGACGCATCGTTGCGGCTCTGGTCGATCTAAAGAAGAACTGACCGAGGAGCTGCCGTTAGAGGGTCGGAGAGAGACTTATAGTATGCGTACGATCCTGCATTACGGGCCTAATGACACACCTGTTGCCCGCATTTGGGTCAAGGATCCTCATTTGAGGCACAGCACTTGAGGACAGTCCCAGATTCCACAGACCCAACGGACCCCATCCGATCAGATGGTTTAACATGAACAAAACAGAACGACGCCGTGCTGTTAAACCGTATATAGCAAAGAAACGGGGCTTCTTTGGGGTTGACGATCCAGGCCCTTGTGTGGCGCTGATTCGGGCTATCAGAATGAAGCCACAGGTCAACCTGTCGGCGGAGTCCTCGGAAGCAGGGGAGCCCGGTTATGACACCGAGTCCGACCCACGGTCAGACGACGAAAACATTTAGCGGCAGCAAACTCGGCATGGGGGAACGATACTAAAGGATGGGGACGTTGCAGGTTCGGCCAGCGACGCTTCTCTTCCCAAAAATGTCAAAGAAGAAAAAGGTGAGCCTGGCCGAGAGCCAGGCGGCCGCCGTCCCAGGACGCCTCGGCAAACCGCAGCGACGTTCGCCCCTGCTCACGGGATAAAGAAACGATGTGATGTCCAAGTTTGTCATACGCTGACATCGGACAACATATACGCAGTTGACGCTTGAAAACATGAGATCGACGCTGCTGTAGCCAGCTCTGTTTTCAAATCCGAAGCGGCGGGAATCCCCGACTCACAGAAAGCGCTGAGAGTCGAATCGGACCGTCTCAGAGCGAGCGGCACCCGGGATGAGAACGGAGTCGAGGAGTACAATGATGTTGTGGCCCAGCTTCAGGGTGAAACAGCAAATTTGGGGCGCATCTTCGCTACCTTACGTAAAGATCGTAAGTACAACTGACGCGCTGTTTTTGAGGGGTCGGACGCTCGGGGTCCAAAGAAAGACGCGGCACTTCCCCATGAATTCCCCAATCGCCATGCAACAGTGCAGGCTAGCAAAGCGGCAGATACAGGTTGTCTGAAGGCCATGAAATACAGCAGGCCGACGCCAAACAAGCCCATACCCAGACCAAGCTTGGCGGCACTCCCTCGTGGATCTTTCTCCCTGGAGACGAATGCCCAGTCTTGGCGGCCCTGCAATACTTCGCTACAAGGCCGCTCTACTTCGCGGAGGCACTGGGAACAACATTGTGAGGACCGTGCCCTTTCCAAAGTCTTGAACAAGTGCGATCCCTGGCGCAGTTGTTACTACCACCCTGAGATGAAGTTCCTGATACTTTACCTTGGCGACATTAAGGTTTCTGGGCCGTCCGAACACTTTTAAAAAGGTGGCGAATGGTACAAGAACTGGACTAGGTTTACCCGAGAGGAACAGATACTGACCCCCCACCACCAAAGTTGGCAGATACCTCGGTTGGGAGCATCATGTTTGAAGATAGTATGCTTTAATAAGTGTATGTGTAGATTTTTTCTGTACACACGCAAAAAAATCGAATGGCACCGTGACCTCCCCCACTGCATTGGACTCCCACCCTCCGAAAACGAAGAAGACAGCAGTTGACGATTCAGGGGCGGAGGTCGAGTAGTGACCTCGCCAGTGCCTGGCGCACCCATCGTAGTACCAGCGTGAGTCATCAGGACATTTGTGGCCCTTACACTCGAGCTAACCAGAGCGTGGCCTCACGTCGGCAAACGCACGTTTCACACAGTACCCTCGAACCCGATGTTTTGCGGCCGATTTGGCTTTGTGCGCAAAACTCCTCACGTCGATTTCGTTGTGGGAGTTACTCCTGCAGCGGGTACACAAGTGCACATTGTGGCAGATACTCAGGCTGCGTGCAAGGTCATCATAGAGGGGGGTTCCAAAAACTAATGCATCTCCCTCGGACCAATCGAAATGATGCCGCCGCCGTGCCCGAACAATTTACTCTAGGAGTTGTAAAAGTACAATGCGAACGCACGCAGAATGAGGCTGCCGAGCCGACATCGGGAATTAGCCTGACGAAAGACCCAACCATACGTAGTTGTGAATACCGCAATTGTGGATATGTTCTTCGGTGGCGCCCCCGGGCCACGAAACGAGTGAGGGGTGTGCCGAAATGGGGGGGGTGGAACCGCATGCGAGCGCAGCCACTGGGGCGCTCGGTGGAGCTCCCTATGGAGCCACGAAACGTGTGAGGGGTGTGCCAGAATGGGGGGTGGAACCGCATGCGGGCGCAGCCACTGGGGCCTTCGGTGGAGCTCCCTATGGGGCCACGAAACGTGTGAGGGGTGTGCCAGAATGGGGGGTGGAACCGCATGCGGGCGCAGCCACTGGGGCCTTCGGTGGAGCTCCCTATGGGGCCACGAAACGTGTGAGGGGTGTGCCAGAATGGGGGGTGGAACCGCATGCGGGCGCAGCCACTGGGGCCTTCGGTGGAGCTCCCTATGGGGCCACGAAACGTGTGAGGGGTGTGCCAGAATGGGGGGTGGAACCGCATGCGGGCGCAGCCACTGGGGCCTTCGGTGGAGCTCCCTATGGGGCCACGAAACGTGTGAGGGGTGTGCCAGAATGGGGGGTGGAACCGCATGCGGGCGCAGCCACTGGGGCCTTCGGTGGAGCTCCCTATGGGGCCACGAAACGTGTGAGGGGTGTGCCAGAATGGGGGGTGGAACCGCATGCGGGCGCAGCCACTGGGGCCTTCGGTGGAGCTCCCTATGGGGCCACGAAACGTGTGAGGGGTGTGCCAGAATGGGGGGTGGAACCGCATGCGGGCGCAGCCACTGGGGCCTTCGGTGGAGCTCCCTATGGGGCCACGAAACGTGTGAGGGGTGTGCCAGAATGGGGGGTGGAACCGCATGCGGGCGCAGCCACTGGGGCCTTCGGTGGAGCTCCCTATGGGGCCACGAAACGTGTGAGGGGTGTGCCAGAATGGGGGGTGGAACCGCATGCGGGCGCAGCCACTGGGGCCTTCGGTGGAGCTCCCTATGGGGCCACGAAACGTGTGAGGGGTGTGCCAGAATGGGGGGTGGAACCGCATGCGGGCGCAGCCACTGGGGCCTTCGGTGGAGCTCCCTATGGGGCCACGAAACGTGTGAGGGGTGTGCCAGAATGGGGGGTGGAACCGCATGCGGGCGCAGCCACTGGGGCCTTCGGTGGAGCTCCCTATGGGGCCACGAAACGTGTGAGGGGTGTGCCAGAATGGGGGGGGAACGCATGCGGGCGCAGCACTGGGGCCTTCGGTGGAGCTCCCTATGGGGCCACGAAACGTGTGAGGGGTGTGCAGATGGGGGGGGAACCGCATGCGGGCGCAGCCACTGGGGCCTTCGGTGGAGCTCCCTATGGGGCCACGAAACGTGTGAGGGGTGTGCCAGAATGGGGGGTGGAACCGCATGCGGGCGCAGCCACTGGGGCCTTCGGTGGAGCTCCCTATGGGGCCACGAAACGTGTGAGGGTGTGCCAAATGGGGGGTGGAACCGCATGCGGGCGCAGCCACTGGGGCCTTCGGTGGAGCTCCCTATGGGGCCACGAAACGTGTGAGGGGTGTGCCAGAATGGGGGGTGGAACCGCATGCGGGCGCAGCCACTGGGGCCTTCGGTGGAGCTCCCTATGGGGCCACGAAACGTGTGAGGGGTGTGCCAGAATGGGGGGTGGAACCGCATGCGGGCGCAGCCACTGGGGCCTTCGGTGGAGCTCCCTATGGGGCCACGAAACGTGTGAGGGGTGTGCCAGAATGGGGGGTGGAACCGCATGCGGGCGCAGCCACTGGGGCCTTCGGTGGAGCTCCCTATGGGGCCACGAAACGTGTGAGGGGTGTGCCAGAAGGGAGGGGGAGGAGGGAGGAGGAAGGAGAGGAGAAGGAAGGAGGAAGGAGGAAGGAGGAAGGAGGAACGCGGGGACCGTCTCTTCAAAACGAGGACCCAACAACACAGGTTGGTTGGGAATAAAACATTCGAAGGAGCGGTACACAACGGAAAACCACTCAGCCACCGCGGGGGGTGAGCCGACAAGGGGGGGATCCCGGCCCCCCCCCCTGCACAAACTAAAAAGGGGACGAGGCGAGAGGGAGAGCCCCCCCTCCCCCCCGCGCGATGAGTTCAATCCCCGCAGAATGGTTCAATTCCCGGCAGGAGGGCTCAATCCCTGGAAGTAGGTTCAATCCCCGGCAGAAGGGTTCAATCCCTGGCAACCGCCCTCATTGCATGCCAAGAGCACGGGAGACTCTCAAGCTCAGAATTCCCGTGCGAGTCCTTGAGGTAACCAGTGGGCTGGGAAGCCCGCCTGGGGCCAGGGTCGGTGCAGGCACCCTCCTGTCGTGGCCAAGGAGGCGTATGCACCGATCTTGTTCCGATGATAAGCCTGGACAGGGTCGGTGCGCATGTGTGTGCATGCGTCCCTTCGCCCGAAGCACGAGAACAACTCGAAGAAGATCGATCGCAGAATCGATGTACCCCAAAACTGATTTTCTCCATCTGTCCGAACTCGATGGGAAATCCGTGGATTTACCAAACATTTGATGCATTGTTCATAGCGTGGAGAAAAAATATGGTTAATCGATTATGCAGTCGATCTTTACTCGAAAAGCGGAGGCGAGGCAGGAGTAGGCGCAGGAGGCGGGCACCAGCCCCAGCCCCTCCGCAACAGCTGCGCCAACGACCTCCGCACGAGCAGCCGCAGCGCCCTCGGCGCCCCGATGTGCGCGCGGCCGCCACGGGGGCCCTCCTCCCGGTCCTCTGGCGGGGGGGGGGGGGAAGGCAGGTTCGTGCGGCGACGACCCGGGCGTTGGTCTGTGAGGCCGCGTGGAAAGTTCAACCTTGAACGATCGCGGCTTCCCGATAGCGCAGATCGTTCGACATCGGCCGGTTCTGGGCCACCGGCAGCGTTCAACCTTGAACGCCCGCGCTGGGGTTGCCGCCGCGTCAACGCGGCGCGAACCTGCCCTATCAGGCGTTGGCGGGACTGGGATTAGTGAGACCTGGTTAAGTGATGTGTACCAGGAGGGCGCCCTCCCGCCTCACTGCACCAACCGGACCTGCCGCCATCCAAAGAAGTACCAGCTGGGGCAGACTTGGTTCAACGATTCTGGCACATGGATGGGCTGCGGGGCCCAACCACTAACTGGCTCCCCAATACCATGGGTCCTATCCGAAAACGCGGGCTTTGTCTTTTTGTTCCACCGGGCGTTTCCACCCGAGACAAATCTCGGGGACCCATGGTGCTAAAGAATTGCGAACGGGGCTGGCTCCCAGAAGCGGCTTGCTGACTGCTTCTGCTTGCAATGCACAAGACGTTCATCCCATTGCTGCCCCACTCGAGAGGTCGCCCGACCCTTGACCAGCCGCGCGGCGCCCTCTGCGCGAAGGCCGCCGTGCGCAGACAAGCGCACTTGATACTTGTCACGAACCCGCGGCGCCGCCGCTTGCCCCAAACGAAACACCAGCACGCAGAACTGGCGACGGGCGTTTGCACTTGTGGCGTCGTCGCGAACAACAGACCACGCCACGCGCGAATGCCGCTCTTCTGTAAACGCTGGCTGCACGATGCTGGGGCCGCCGTCGACTGGAAGGAGGCGGCCCGCGATTTCGTCGAGCCTGCGGAGATTGCCCGCCTCGCTGACACACTCGCCCCTGTCGTGCGCCATCGTGCCGCAGCAATCCAGACGAAGGCGCCGAGCCCACGAGCCGCCCGCCTAGAGGGGGCCCTCTCGCGGACACAATCCGCGGCTACATATATCGCCGCCGGGCATCATCCCGCCGCAGCACCGCCGACGCCCCGCGCCCTCGGAGGGCGCGGCGACCTGCGGGCGAGGCAGCTCTTCTCCAATATTGGAGTGCCCAGTTCCAAATTACCTCCTAGAAGTTCATGTGCCCTTTTACGGCTTTAGGGTTATGAGGCGATTGGGCTCCATGACGATGGGGCTATGGGGCTATAGTGCTATGGAACTATAGGGCTATAGGGCCATAGGCCTATAAGGCTATAGGGCTATAGGACTATAGGGCCATAGGGCCATAGGGCTATAGGGTTGTAGGACTATAGGGCTATGGGGCTCTGGGGCTATGGGGCTAAATTGCTATAGGGCCATAGGGCTATGAGTCTATAAGGCCATGAGGCTGTAGGGCTTTAGGATAATAGGGCTGTAGGGATATAGGGCTATGGGGCTATAGGGATATAAAACTATAGGCATATATAAAGTTATAGTGCTATAGGGCTATAGGGCTGTAGGGCTATAGGGCTATAGGGCTATAGGCCTCTAAAGCTATAGGGTTATAGGGATGCTGGCGCGTCGGAGTATGAGCGCGCCCCTCGCAAGCATCGATGAAAATTCGGCGGCCAGCGAAAGAAGAAGCGACAAGGGGTCGGCCTTCTCGAAGGCTCGAAATCCCCCAGCCTTCTGAAATGTTCCAAGCCTTCCCCGAAGACACAGAAAGCCTCTCAGCAGGCGCGAAGGCTTCTGAGAAGTCCCGCCGCGTTCTGGAAAATCCTGCTCATTCTCCCATTCACCCTCTCGCTCGCCGCCCCCCCCCCCCCAAAAAAAAACACCGTGGCATTCTGAGCGGTCGCCGCCAGGGCGCGGCCCCCACGCTGCCAGGTCGGCGACGGCCGACAGGGCGACCACCGCCCAGGAAACGGCGACGATCGCTGGAAAGCGACGGTCATGGCAGCGCCCGTCGGCCCGCCAACGACGCTGGACATCTTCGCCGAAGGTACCTGGGGCACGTGGGCGAAGATCGTTGTGAGGCAGAGCTTGATAGAGGCGCTCGGTATGAGGTGCGGTCTCCGCGCCGTCAAGTCAGTGATGACAGGGTGGTCTCCGCGCATCGACACGTGGAGCACCGCCAAATGGACGGCGGCCGTGGCAATGTCGTCCGCGATGGGCCCCGCTCCAAATTCCCCTGGGCCACATGAGAGCTGAACTGAAGCGCCGCGCCTCTACGACACATCGGCCGCAGTGCTGGCGCGACGGCCACCAAAGGGGCGCCTGCCTCAGCCGCTGCGGACAAGAATCGAGGTCACAGTCGCAGCGCTCATGTATCAAGAATCTGCCGCTTGACCGTTGCCTTCCACGCGTTTTTGGGGGTATCGCTGCGAGCCAAGAAAGATGCCGATGACCGTTGGCTCGGGGGGAAGGAGGGGCAGGAGGGAGGAGGAGCGGAGAAGGGGGAGGGCGGAGGGGGAGGAGGAAGACGGAGGAGGAGGAGAGGGAGAGGAGGAGGAGGAGGAGGAGGAGGAGGAGGAGGAGGAGGATGTTTGACATCAGGCGACACAAAACACAAAACACACAACATTAAGAGAAACCTCCGTTTAGCACTCTGGCTCCGTGAGAACCCAAGGCCCGACCTCGACTGTGACCAGGTCGCGTTTGGGATGACGGCCAGAGGCTATGCGATTCCAAGAGCGCATCCTACCCTGAGCCCCCGCTCGGGGGATGGGGTGGCACTCCTGGCGGAGACCTCGCACTTGACCCCCGCTAGTGTAATACATGCCGCGGAAACATACAAAATTAGAAGAGTGTTCGCTGGCGTCCAGGAACAACATCGAGTGGCCAAGCTCCAAAAACTTGGGGGCGTCGAATCCACGGATCCCGACCCCAGGACCACCACGGCAAACACCAGGAGAAGGGCGGAGGGCGGCCCTGGACCCACGGAAACAACGCTCACATTGCCAGAACCTGCCCTGCCAATTCCACACATGCCCGTCAACTGCAGGCTTTGCTGGAACAGGCCTCTTGACAAAAACGGCGCTCGACAAGTCGAGCCTCGGCCAGAGCGGCTGCAACTTTCCCGCCAGCTTGCAGGCAAGCTTGGACACACGCAGCTGGCGGGCAAGTTTCTCCAATTCTTGAAGCGAGGGGGATGGGTGTCTGGATGCGGCACCCTTGGCCAAAGCATCCGCAGCATCGTTACCTAGCTTGGAAGATATTAAATCTTCCGACGTATCAGTGTCCTCTGGAGCGTGCCCTTTGGCTTTCACAACGGGGACTAAACCCGTGGGCCGCAGAGTCAGAGAACTGCCGCTGTCCTGTCTTTTGTACGGCAACTGCTCCTGTTGTTGCAATTTAAACTGACGGACCACGTTTAGGCAACCCGCAAAACCTCTGGAATCAGGAATAACGAATTGCCCTGCAGCATAGATGGCTTAAAAATCGGCGGCCTGGGGCGCCTGAGGGTTCGGGGCCCAGACAGGGGCCGACACATGTACACAAACATGTCGATTGGAGTCGTAGCATATAAACCCCATCCCCCCCTGGACACTTCGGGAATCACATGTCTATAAGAGCAACAGTCGAAATTGAAATCGGCCTGAGCCCTGAACCCGCCGATGCCCACCACCTCGAAGCCGCCCTCGGTCAGCGGCCTGGGGAACGTGTCACCTGGATGTTCAAATATGCCTGGGGTGAACAAAAGTCGCTTGGCTAGGTCCTGGAAGTCGATGTCGGACAGAGTCGGGCGGTTATCTCTGAGCTTCGCAAGAACATCTTCGCGCTCCTCGTCACACGATGGGCAGAAGTACAGTCTGTGCACCAGCGTGCGGGGCAGCTCTGCACAGCTCACACCGTAGATCTTCCTGCTTGTAGCCTCCCTCCTCTGCAACTGGTTTAGTCCATATGCCCCCGCAGCACATGGCTTTGATGTAGCCTTTTTGCAGAGGAGTGAAGCTAAACGAATTTAGCTGAGCCCTGACCTGGTCGTAGCACAGTCGCCGCACTTCTGGCAACAGGCTCGACGCACTGGACCTCTCCAGCGTCCTCAAAATAGCAGCGTGCAGGGCTCGCTTGATGAAGGCTGGGCTGCAGAAAGTCATCTGGACAGCGACTCCGAAATCGTCTATCAGCTCGGTGAAGGAACGCATACACCAACCGATCCTCTGGAGGGACAGCTTCATGGCAGACAGTGGCCCCGACACCCTTCTCCAGGAACCTGCATCTCGATTGCCTTCGAAAACCTCCTGCCAACCGTCTCGAAGCTCCAGGAAAAACAAACAGAAAGGGTACGATCGAGTCAACGCTACCCTGACTTCCTTGGAATAGCGGACGATAGGACTTACCGCGGCATGCCAGACAGGGCTTCGCTCCAGGATGAGGAAAGAGGTGAGGGATCTCTGACCTGCACTTGCCTGGCAGGTCGCACCAAAAGATCTCCTTGCCACCTCAAGCTCATGATTCGAAAAACCTTACACCTCACTTCCGTAGACCAGCCCAGGTAGCGGCCCAGAGACAAAAATCCTCTTCGTGAAGCGGCCCAGGACCTTTTTGTTTCCTCTCAGACGCCGGATGCTCTTCTTGAGCGTTCTGAGACGGACCTGGAACTTCTTCGATCTCCCCCCTGATCTCATAGCACGGCCGCAGGCATGGTCGATGCCTAGGTTCGTAGTAGATCTGCACGCTCCGCCTGCTAGGTCCCCCAGCTCGGCTCAGATACGCGCAGCAAGTTGAGGAGAGGATGCAACCAAAGAAGGAAGACGGACCGAGCGGGCCCTCAATAATCAAACGGGCGCGCGCCCCCACAACTGGCCCCCACGCAGGACGCGGGCGGCCTCGTGTGCGCCGCGCGCCCAGACTGGCGGCATCCAGGCCTCCTGTCTGGAACAGCGAGTCCCCGAGCGCCGAGTTCGGCATGGCCGAGATTCGGCCGAACAGCAACGACTGTCGAAAAAACAGGCACTGGCTCAGACGCGCACCGTTGGCTCTACTCCGGACCTCCTCGTTGGAACAATGAGAAGGTCGCCAAATCCAGGCCGAAGCCGTTTATGGGCGTCTGGGATGGGGTGCGGCCGCCGCGCTTGCAAGACGGTGCTGACAAGGTGGCCCCAAAAGCACGGTGCGCAGAACGCCGCCGATAGAAAGGCGACCATGACAGTGTCCTGCGCCACGCCCGTGCCCCGCCGATATCCCCTGGATCACCTGGGCGATGGCAGAAGGAGGAGGAGGCGAATCAGGAGGAGGAGGAGGAGCAGGAGGAAAACGAGGAGAAGGAAGAGAACGATAGGGGGGGAAGGGGGAGGAGGAGGAGGAGGGAGGAGGAGGGAGGAGGAGGAGGAGGAGGAGAAGGAGGAGGAGGAGGAGGAGGCGAAGCAGGCGGAGGAGGCGAAGCAGTAGAAGGAGGCGGCGAAGCGAAGCAGGAGGAGGAGGCGAAGCAGGAGGCAGAACCGAGATGTCGGAGGCGACGGCGCGGCGGACCGAGACGAGCTGCCGGCTGCGCGGGCGCCGCCCCGGCGCCGCTCCAGCGCCGAGGCGGGCTCGCGGAAGGCAAAGAGAGGAAGCTGCCAGACGAGCTGGCGGCAAAGGTCTGCCGAGGCGAGGGTCCGCCGAGCCTCCTCCTCCTCCTCCTCCTCGTCCTGCTCCTCCTCCTCCTCCTCCTCCTCCTCCTTCCTCCTCCTCCTCCTCCTCCTCCTCCTCCTCCTCCTCCTCTCCTCCTCCTCCTCCTCCTCCTTTCCTCCTCCTCCTCTCCTCCTCCTCCTCCTCCTCCTCCTCCTCCTCCTCGTCCTCGTCCTCCTCCTCCTCCTCCTCCTCGTCCTGCTCCTCCTCCTCCTCCTCCTCCTCCTCCTCCTCGTCCTGCTCCTCCTCCTCCTCCCTCCTCCTCCTCCTCCTCCTCCTCCTCCTCCTCCTCCTCCTCCTCTTCTTCTTCTTCTTCTTCTTCTTCTTCCCCTCCTCCTCCTCCTCCTCCTCCTCCTCTCCTCCTCCTCCTCCTCCTCCTCCTCCTCCTCCTCCTCCTCCTCCTCCTCCTCCTCCTCCTCCGCCTCCTCCTCCTCCTCCTCCTCCTCCTCCTCGTCCTCCTCCTCCTCCTCCTCCTCCTCCTCCTCCCCCTCCTCCCTCCTCCTCCTCCTCCTCCTCCTCCTCCTCCTCCTCCTCCTCCTCCTCCTCCTCCTCCTCCTCCTCCTCCTCCTCCTCCTCCTCCTCCTCCTCCTCCTCCTCCTCCTCCTCCCCCTCCTCCTCCTCTCCTCCTCCTCCTCCTCCTCCTCCCCCTCCTCCTCCTCATCCTGCCCATCGTCCTCCCCGTCGTCCCTCGCGGCCGACGACTAAGGTCCGCCGAGCCGAGGGTCATTGTCACTGTACCCACGTCCACGACCAAGCAAGCGGCCTCTCTGAGCTGCCCCCTCGGGAAGAGAACACACGAGAGTGGAGTCCTGGACGACGAATGCGTCAATGAAGATCTTCCACGACTGGACGAGAACTCCGTTCGGTCAGTTCGGAACGGATCGAACCGAAATCTGCCCGGGCCTCCCTAAGATCCGTGCTGGTGATCCACCCCCCGCCGCCAACATTTACGATCCAAATGTCGAGATCATCATCTTCCCATCATTCCGCCAGTGCTGGCGCCCACCGTACAAGGACGTCAGCCCCACGTAATCAAAATCCGATCGGACCTCCTGGCCTCCAGCGACGCCATTAACGACGACACGACCGAGGGGTCAATCCACAGCCATCACCTTTCCTCCACCTCCGTCCTCGTCCTCGTTCTCGCGCCTCGTGCATGAACGTGCCCTCGCCCACCCTGTCCTCGCCAGCACTCTGGGGATGAGACGGCCTAGCAGCGCAAACACAACCGCGCCACCTGCAGCACGAAAGCTGCCAACGCGGACGCCAGAATCCTCTGCACACGGCGGCGGGCACTCTGGAACAGTCCTGTCGGGCGGCTGGCCGAGCCAGAACTGGATGCCGCAGGTGCCAGTAGAGAGGTGACCCTTGTCCGTGACCACGCAGTGCGTCATGGCAGCCTCGAGCCCAGCGAGAGCACATAGAACGGCAGGAAGCAGGACGCCAGCCACGGCACGTCCGCGAGGCAGCGTGAACTCGACCATCTCCCGCGCCAGGTCAGGTTTGAGGAACTGGGTAGCGAAAACTGGCCGTCCAGCGGCAACCCGCACTGACGGGCAATGCAAGCACGCGAATGTAGCCATGGATGATGCGCAGGAGACCGGCAAATGCACCACCACCCCCAATACAGTTGCTCACAGGAGAATGGCACTCGAGCGAAAGGACATCTGGAGAGGGAGGGGGGAAGGAGGAGGAAGAGGAGGAGGCAGGGTGGGGAGGGGAAGAAGGAGGAAGGAGGACGCGGCGTGTGAGCAGTCTGAGGACGAAGAGGACAACAGCGACAGCAAGGAGTCGGAGAGTGAAGACGACGGCGACAGTGAGGACGTGATGATGAGGAGGAAAGGATGGAGCGGGTAGCGCTGCGGAGGGGGAAAGAGGAAGAAGGGGAGAGGAGGAAAGAGGAGGAGCGGAGGAGAGGGAAGGAGCGAGGAGGAGGACCAGAAATAGCCCAAGGAGAAACAATCATACTGCACAACACTCTCCGTCCCAAGTCGTCTCCTCATAAGACCCTGCGGGCATATCTCGCACTGCGGAAAGCACCCTCTTGAAAGACGAGCGCCCAATGGCACTACTACCGTTCCCGCGAGAGCCCTGTGTTGAAAAGCAGTCGCCCTTCAGCCAAGTTCCAATGCTGGTCACAGAAGTTGAGCCAGGCTCTCGAAACTCTGAAAATCAGATGCATTCCATTGGTGTGGCCATTGGTGTGGTTGCACCGCCACCTTACATCCTTCGTCATAATTCGGATGGTGGGGAAGTCTCAAGAGAGAGATCCCCCGCTTTAACGAAAAGAACCGCTTGTGACTACTAGGAGCGTTCACGACGAATGCGCGCGGCGCGAAAAAGAGTGGCACATGTTGAAAACGATTCGTCTGGCCATCCTCTCGTGACTGTGAGGAAGTGCTACGAAGAACGCGCGGGGCGCTCAAGGAAGAGCTGCAGGTGGAAATCAATTCGTCATCCAGCCTTGCGGCTGCTGGGAAAATCTGAAACACATCCGCGCAGAGCTAATGCGAGATCCACGTGTTGAACGCGACTCGCCCCCTACAGTTGTAACGCTTGGAAATGCCCAGTTTCAGGATCATCAGTGGTGAGGAAATATGAAGCGAGAAGCCTGGTCCGCCATGCCAACATGCCTGATAGTGCGACGAGTTGGTTACAAGGACTGGGGATGGAGAAGGAAGAGGGGGAGAGAGCAATTAGAAGACGCGCCAAGTTTGGGGAACGGGGTTAATATGAGCGATGATGAGATATACTGTGCCGAACCTGTGCATGTGCCGAATTACCGACATCAGAACATACAAGCATACGAACACACATGTATATATATATATATATATATATATATACATATATATACACACCTTGACATAACAACCCAATAACGTCTAACCAGCAGGCACGAGAGCAACTAGACAGACTAGCATCAAGGTGCCGTGGGGTCAGATAGGAGGAGGAAGAGAAGGAGGCGAGGATGAAAAAGGAGGAGATTACAGGAGAAGGGGACTGAGGAGAACAAGAAATTTGAGGAGGTGACGGATTCGGAGGCGTAACCGCGGCCATGAGCATGCCGACAACGGCGACGACGACGGCAACGACGGCGACGACGACGACGACGGCGACGACAGCGATCCAGTCCTGGCTCGCCCAGTCGGCCACGGGGCAACCCACCGCCACGCCTCCCAAGAGGGCGGGGGCGGACGGAGCCTCCCGGTCCCTCCTCCCTCCTCTTTCAACCCGCCGCCTGGTCCTCCCATCTGCCTGCCTCCTGCGTCCGCTGGTGTTCCTTGTTCTTTTACTCCTGGTCCTCCTGCTCCCACCCTTCGCCTCACACTCCTTCTCCCCATCCACCTCCCTCTCTAAAGCCCCATCCTCCTCCTGCCCCTCCTCCCTATCCACCGCATCCTCACCCTTCCTTGTTTCCCTTCCTCTCATAATTTCATTACGTATGTCCTCCTCCACCTCTTCCTCCTCCTCCCCATCCTCCTTCTCCTCCTCCTCCTCCTCCTCCTCCTCCTCCGCCTCCTCCTCCTCCTCCTCCTCCTCCTCCTCCTCCTCCTCCTTGTCTTCCCCCTCACAAGCAAAAACACGACTGCAGGGGACCGCCCAGCTCAGGATGCAAAAGCCAGCCCCAGGGAAAGAGGGCCCCGCCCCCACACGCGCGATTCACAGCCCACACGCGCTTGTTAAACCACCCAAAGATGGGGATCAATCAACATCGAATCGGGAAATCGGATGTGCGCCAGTTCGTGCTGCACCGGCACGGAGCCGGCGGCGAATCGGATCGGCTGCGACAGGATGCACAACGGCGCTGCGCATCGGATCGTCTAAAGATCGAGATCGAATCGGATCGGGCTGGCCAGAGTCGACATCGAATCGGATCGATCAGATGGAAATGGATCATGAGTCTGAAGGGGCCCAGGGACACACAAATAAATACACACAAATAGCAGGATTCTCCATGTTTTCGCATATTTTCTGGTTTTTTGTCTTCCCCCCACTTCCCATATTTCCCCATCTTTTCCTCGAAGCCGACGATGAATTGTGTCTGTGTGTTCTTTCCCCTCCTGAGAGTCGTCGCCTCGAGAGGCGGTCGGCACAGCCTGGACTCCGCACGGAACCTGGCGAGGGCACTCCCGGGCCAGCGCAGCAGCCCCGTCTCCGAGGCAAGGGAGGGAGGGAGCCGAGGGGGAGGAGGGAGGGAGGGAGGGAGGGAGCGAGAGAGAGAGAGAGGGGGCGACGGCGGAGGCGAGGACAAGGGAAGGACTCGGCCAAGAAGAGCTCGGCCAGGATGAACTCGGCCTGGCCGAGTTCAGCCTGGCCGAGTTTTTCTGAGCCGAGTTCGATTGCTGCCCGAGGGGGGAGGAAGCGAAGGGGAGGAGGCGAGGAGGGAAGAGGCGAGACCCTGAGATCCGACGTTGTAAAAAAGCATGCGACATCGCGAAAAAACATGACCGGAACTCCAGATTCCATCTTTCTGCAATATCTTCCGGAGCCCGAGACCAAGCGAAAACACGCCCAGCGCGAAAAGACTGCGACACCAGGAACTCAGGGGAGGAAGGAGGAGGGATCGAGTAGGAGATCGACTACAAATTTGATTCACCACAAGATTGAATTGTGTGAGCCGAATCTGCTACTCATACGCAGCATACTCCGTAGATCTACCGAGCATTCTGCGTAACTTCCGCAGATCCGGCGAACAGAAGCGCGTCTGGGGCAATGAACTCTGCGATCGATCTCCTCCTCGAAGGGTGGAAGGATTTCAGACGAACAAGAGCAGGAGGGGGGCAGGGCAGCAGCAGCACCGGCCCCGAGAGAGGCCCGCGGCCGGAGCTGGCAGCAGCCGGACGCGGCTGCCTGCGCCCGGCGGGGCTCTGGCGGCGAGGGCGCCCTGGGAGCGGAAGGCCCGCGCGAGGGAGGCGATGCGGGCAAGGCTGGCCGCGGCGTTCTCCGGGCTCTCCTGCTGGGGCTGCGGGTAACATCCTCATCGTCGTCATCATCGTCATCATCATCATCATCATCATCATCATCATCATCATCATCATCATCATCATCATCATCATCATCATCATCATCATCATCATCATCATCATCATCATCGTCATCATCATCATCACCATCACCCTCATTATCATCATCACCATCATCATCATCATCATCATCATCATCATCATCATCATCACGATGATGATCATCATCATGACCATAATCATCATCATCATCATCATCATCATCATCATCATCATCATCATCATCATCATCATCATCATCATCATCATCGTCATCATCATCATCACCATCACCCTCATTATCATCATCACCATCATCATCATCATCATCATCATCATCATCATCATCATCATCATCATTATCTTCAGCATCACCATCACCACAATCATCAGCATCATCATCACCATCGGCATCAGCATCAGCATCATCGTCATCATCATCCTCGTCATCATCATCACCATCAACAACCTATTCGTCATCATCAGAATCATCACCATCATCAGCCTCATCATCTTTAGCAGCAGCATCATCCACATCAGCATCGACATCAATACCAACGTCAACAGACACATCATCATCATGCTTGTACTAACACTAACAACAACAACAACGATTCTGAAATTAACGCAAATAATGAAAACTGGAACGTATAATACTACGGATAAGGAAAAGAAACATAATAATCATGTCGATGGCTATACAATGACTCACCGGAATAGTGATAATGGTAATCAGATGAAGAAGAATGATTAAACGAATCACCACATTGACCATCATAATCACCAGCATCGTCATTATCACGATCAACAACAACAACCATAACGAGAACAACAACATTACAGCAACAAACATCTTACCCTCATGCGCGATGTTTCCACACGAAGCATGCGACCATCATGGTAACCATCCCCATCATGGGGGATTATTGTTCTATGGCAGGGTCCGTCATTCCCATTCCAAGATCTCCCGCCCAATTAGGTCTTGCAAACACCTCATCCGAGGAATTTCAACATGTTCCGCCTCGAAAGCGCATGCCCGTACCTTGCTGCGCCGATGCGAGACCGCCAGTGGAGCCCCAGCCAAGGGTAAAGCACAAGGAAGTATCGAGCGACAGGACAACCTTGGTGGGGATGGGGGCTGTCGGCGGCGAGGCAAGGACCTGGCCCTGAATAGAAGGGCAGGAGGTCTCGAGCGGGGCCGCTGTTGTTGCTGGGAGCGGCGCCGATGCTGAAGAGAGTAGGGCTCCAATCCAGCGTAAAACAAAACGAAGTCTCGACCGGGAACGCTGGTTTTGTTGGGACGGCGGTTGTCGGCAGCGAGGATGCCTCAGTAAGAAAAGAGGAAGTCTCGAGCGGGAGCAGTGGTTTTGTCGGGACGCGGGCTGTCGGCGGCGAGGAACAGCATCGCCATGAGGAAAAAGGGAGCAAGCAACGAGCGGGAGCGTCGTTCTTGCTGGGAGCGGCGCCAATTCAAAAAAGAGTATCCAGCGTAAAACGGGAGGAAATCTCGGGCGGGAGCGCTGGTTTTGTCGGGGCGGCGGTTTTCGGCGGCGAGGAGGAGCACCGCCTTGAGAAAAAAAGGGGGAAGTCTCGAGCGGGAGCGTTGTTGTTGCTGGGGGCGACGCCGATGAGAGAAAGAGTAGCGCGCCAGTCCGAGGTAAAACGGGAGGAAGTCTCGAGCAGTAGCGCTGGTTTTGTTGGGACGGCGGTTTTCGGCGGCGAGCACACCCGCCATGAGCAAACAAGGAGGAATTCTCGAGCGGGAGCGTTGTTTTTGCTGGGGGGCCGGTTTTGGCGCCCCCCCATCTGCTGGAGCGCGAGCCTCATTTTTAATGAACATGTAGCCAGCGCCGAGGCGAGAGCATTAAGGCGCCTGGGGGGTCCAACTAGAATTCGCCGGCCCAACGGGCCAGAGGCGTGCTAAGATCTCTGGTAACTGCTAAAGAATACTTCTAGTTCGCGCGCGCGGGGCGGCCCCTGGGGGTCCCCCGGCGAAAAGTACCCCGGGCGATCCCCGGCAGGGTCGGATCAGAGATGGTTTTGAGGGCCTTTTTTCGACACCCCTCACGAGGATCGTGGCCTCCGAGGGGGGTGCACTCCCACCCCAAGAGGCCCCCAAGAGCCACCCAAGGGGGGCCCAAGACGCCGCCAAGGAGCCCCAAGAGACCCCCCAAGAGGCCCCCAAGAGGCCCCTAGGAGGCCCCAAAGAGGCCCCCAAAGAGGCCCCCAAGAGGCTTCAAAGAGGCCCCATAGAGCGCTCGAGGGCCGGCGGAATGAGCGAAGCGATTAAATAATTGTTTAGGCATTAATATTCAAACAACAACAACAACAACAACAACAACAACAACAACAACAACAACAACAGGAACAACAACAACAGCAACAGCAACAGCAACAACAACAGCAGCAACAACAAAAACTACAACAACAACAAGAACAACAACAACAAGAACAACAAGAACAACAAGAAAAACAACAACAACAACAACAACAACAACAACAACAACAACAACAACAACAACAATTACTAGCACGTGGGGACACTCCGTTCTCACCAGTGCCAGGGTTTTCATAGGAGGCGGGCAATACCCCCACTTTGTGGGGGGGCCGGTTCAAGCTCTACCAAATTTCCAAACGACTCTTCGCCACCACCCACACCCAGCTTCCCGCCCTATGACGTTCGGACACTTCACTTCGTGGCATGCGGACGACCGTGGCTACTATTCAGGGCCCCGCGGCCGACGACGACGGCGTGCGCGCGCGAAGAAAAAACGAATGTGTCCCGCATGGTATTATTTGACAGGGATGATGGCCCTGGCAGGTGCGCAACCGTTGTTGCAGAAGTTCGAAAAAGTTGCTCGCAAAAGCCCGTTTGACAGAAATGTTTAAAAAGTGTTGGGTTTCCTACGAATCCGCAAGAGCGCGCGGGATGAAATTTTGACATTTTTTTTGAAAAACCATTGGTTTTTTGATGTTTTTATGTTAAAATCGCTACGAAACTAAGGTTTTGGAAGGATTTCGTCTTGCGCGCGCGAATGTCCACTTTACCTTATTTTTTGCAAGGGATTCTTGAAGTTTGGTTATGTTAGAACAAGAAATGTCCACTTTAGCTTATTTTTTGCAAGGGAAAGCGGGCCGTAACAAAACAACCGGATCCGGACCAACCCGTTTTGCCTGAGACTTCCTCACGAAAATGATGAAAATGTGGCTGCGGCCTAGGCGCGGCGGGGGGGCCGTGCACCAGGGGTCCCAACAATAATTTAATTATTCTTTAGAAGTAATAATGTTCAACAACAGCAGCAACAACAACAACAGCGACGACGACGACGACAACGACAACAACCACAACAACAACAACAACAACAACAACAGCAGCAGCAGCAGCAACAACAACAACAACAACAGCGACAACAGCGACAACCACAACAACAGCAACAATAACACCAACAACAACATCACCAGCATCATCATCATCATCAGCAGCAGCATCATCATCATAATCAGCATCATCAGCAGCAGCAGCAGCATCACCACCACCATCATCGTCATCATCAGCAACATCAACATCAACATCAACAGCAGCATCGACAGCAATATCATCAACATCATAATCATCATCATTATCAGCATCATCATCATCATCATCATTTTCATCATCATCATCATCATCATCATCATCATCATCATCATCATCACCATCGTCATCATAATGATCATGCTGGGTCGGCACGGTGGAATCTGGAGGAAGAGGATTGCATTAATACTTCTGGACATCACCGAAAAGGAGCTCAAGAGGCTGATAGAGTTAGCGGCCACGGCCGCCCCGCGCAAGCCGCTAGCCGGCCCGTCCCCTTGAAGGGACGACTCGCGCATCGTTCTTTCGTTCGTTCGTTCTGCCGGGGCGGCGGGTAGCTTCGATGCTCGAGTACGAGAACGGCCCCCATGCTCCGCACCGTGTTTGGACTCCATCTAGACCCCGCTCGAACGCGGCCACGGTGCACAGCTCTTCGCGTGGAAGCTATGCATCGCACCATTCCTGGGTCCAGAATCGACAACGCCTCGGGGGACACCAACGCGGTCCAGTACACACAATTCAATTGCGTATCGAGTTCCGAGGTTTTCGGATGTCTTCGTGGGCTCTCGGCGGCGGGTCGCTTCAAAGCTCGAGGCTCGAGGCTCGAGGCTTTCGGGATGAGGCAGTCGACTGTTTACCCATACCCCTGCTCACGCCCCGACCCCACGATGGGCCAGAGTGGTGGCATGGATAAAATTCTGGCCTCTGGAGACATGTCTATTCGTGCTTCCCTGGCGCCCAGTGGGGGGGCCAGCGTCGATCGTCGATAAATGTGTCTGTCAGTTCTCGGAGGCTTCCCAGCCTCGGGATGCTCTCCAGCAGCTGCGCCTCGCTGGGAACCTGCTGGGGGTGTCCGCGACTGCGACTGCGAATGCGACCCGCCCTGCAGGCCTACTGGTCGGGCGCGTCCAAGCGGGGGTCCAAGAGGGAGGTTCACAAATCATCGCCCGAGGCGTGTGCGCGGACGAGGGGGGGACCAGTGGGAGGGGGCCATGAAATCTCACTGCACCGACCTTGCAGACGTGCTGCAGCGGATTGTTGCGTGGATTTCTGTCAAAACAAGACCTCGAAACGGCGAGCGAAAAACGAAGTGGATTTCATGTGGATTTGTTTTTGGTCTTCCTTCCTGGCCAACAGAAATCCCCACGAAATTCATCTCGAAATCCGGAACGAAATTCTCCAGGACACTCCGTGCCCATCCTATTGTTTTCCGAACGGAATCCGCTCTGCGATGTTGGCGATATGAGAAATCCGAGGATACTTCATGGCCCCAGCCATGATATCTTCACACCCCTTGCCCTCACCCCCCTTTCCCAGACAGACGACGTCCTGATGTTTTCAACACGGGGCCCCTGGAAGCCCCGACCCTCTCCCGAG